CTTTGTGTACTTGTTTCGTATAGCTTAAGCCCCATTAGTCCAATAGACGTACGGACTTCTGATCTAACAGTTATGAATTCGAATCTTTAATTACGATAGCGCTAATAGCGAAGTGACCGCTGTCTGTAGACATCTAATGATAATTTGAGCACACCACCCTCTTATTTCCCCTGGCGCGGTGTAACCAAAAACTTTGTCATTTTTGTATTTAAAATAACAAATTGCGCTATTATCTAATTAAGAAATAATGCAATATTAAATATACAATTATTTTCAATTTAGCAGAGAAGTTGCATTGGAATTGCTGTAAGAGGATAAAGCAAAAAAAAACATTGGATTTTTGTTCCTCTAATACATCCTTCTTTCCTATCCTTTCCTTAGATTGTGAAGGATATAATAACGGACGACACTACAGACCGCCAGGTTCCATTCACACCATCTGGATAGCTGGCGTTCCACAACGGTGCGATTCTCGCGCAATTTCTTGCCTCGCACAGTCGCGTTGTGGAACGGTCTGTCCTCGGCGGTATTTCCAAACCAATACGACTTAGGGACCTTCAAGAAGCGAGCATACCATTTCCTTAGAGGCCAGCAACGCATCTACAGTTCCTCTGGTGTTGCAGATGTCCATGGGTGTCGTTGATCACCTTGGTGTTCCCGCCGCTCGTTAGCCCCCTTCTCTTATAAAAAAAAACTTAATTTTCCTCTTTCCCTTTCGGTACTAATTCTATACAGGTAAGTTATGATGCATTAACAAAAAATATTGATTACATTCAGTTGAGTTAAAACTTGATTTTATTACTTTTATAAACCAGACCAAGCAACTTATATAATAGTATACTATCATGAATAATTAAAACATCGAAATATTTACGTAAAAATCTATCTCGCAATGATTTGGTTATTGACCACCTGCAGAGGCTGCTTATTTATTTGCTAATTTGAAATGAGATTTTCTAACGCTATATTAAGCGGTAGTGTAAAATTCAAATATATTAAGAAACTAGCTGTGGCCCGCGACTTCGTCAGCGCGGAATTAAAGAAGAAATTAATAAGTAGCTTATGTGTTCTACCAGACTATGTTCTATATCTGTGCTTAATTTCACTAAGATCTACGCGGCCCTTCTTGAGATACCTTGGAACAAACATCCATCCATCTAAACATTCGACAAATATTAGTAAGATGTAAGATTAAGGTAGACAGTTAACATTAGGAAAGACTTTTTCACATTATCATCTTTGTAGCCTATCTATGTTTGATATACAGCACATTGTCCCCCTAAACTTGTTAAGAACACAGTGTATTTAAAAATAATCTTCGGATGTAAAATCGTAAAGGCAACTGTACTGATTGCTCAGAGTTATGAACATCGTCCGGTGATCATAGACACATCCTTCTGTGATAAATTAAAAGACCATTAAAATAAAGTTTACAGGATGATGTTCTTACGATATAAAGGGTGTGCAATAATAAAAACAAAAGACAGTATAAGGGATATTGTTGCCGACAGATACGGAACTTTTTACTTGTTTTTATTCTTAATTGTTATTTTTGAATTTAGAACTGTATATGTTTTTTCTTCCTTTTTCTTTATTTTTAAAACTATCAGTTGTTGTAAATATATTCTTGTAACAGTGCGTGCTTTTCTCCTTTCTCTAATAATTCTATTTAATATTTTCATTTTATCTTTTTATTATATAACATAATATTCCAAAATTCATCTTAATCCTAACGCTCTTCCATCCTTACATATTCGGTCGTCTTTATTTGGTGTCAGAAGTGGGATAAAATTTGGTAAGTCTTTTTATTTTTTTTCCTTTCCTTATTTTATTATAATGTATACACGCTCCCGCTCTCGGGCGGCGGCTCCCTCCGCCGCGTCTCGTTCCTCATCTATACGAGCGGCCGAAAGGCTTGCGGTTGAAGCGGATCATGCGAGGCGGCTCGCGGACATTGAGCGGGGTGTCGCGGAGCGTATCGCAACCGCGGAGAAGTGCGCATCTGAAAGAAGAATGCAGGCAGAGCTAGCGGCGGTTGAGGCTGGCTCTAGTCGCGGGTCAAGCCGCGGCAGCCGGTCTAGCCATTCAACCGTCGATCAATGGCTCGAGGGCGTCCCTAGGCCGTTAGAGCCCGCAGCTATTATTGCTCAAGAGCCCTCACAACCTGCATCCTTTTCTTCAGCGCCATCTCGTATTCAGAGAAGCACCACTGCGCCGTCATCGCCCAGTGTTATTGAGCGCGGCGACATCGGCCTTTCACATAGAGCAACGACATCAGGTATCCCCCATGTCTTCCAAGCGGGAGATGCCATGCAGGCACATCCGCAGGCATGGGGTCCATACGATACCAACGTCGCTGCGCCTCCAGGCCCTCTTCCCGCCTTCCAAGAGGTAGGCGTCACATCGGCGCTACCTCAGGCAGGGACCTCCTCGCCTCCAGGCCCTTATCCCGCCATCCAAGAGGTAGGCGTCACGTCGGCGCCCCCTCAGGCCGGGGTCTTCTTTAGCGCTGGTCTGGGCGCCAGTCTTGGCCAGCGCCCTTTAGCGGCACCTCCCGTGCGGCTCCTTGGTCGTAGCCTTCCTGCAGATGCGCCCGTCACGCAGCCTGCGCCAACGGCAACGACCTCCTCACACATGCCACACCACACGTTCTTAGGCACTCACCACACTGATGCTTGTAACAATTTAAATAAAAATTATAAAACCGACACTTTACATCTTGCTGAGGCCGTTGCTCAAGTGGCGGCTGCCGCGGCAACCAGGACAAGTAATCAAAAGGTTAGTGCACTTCCATTATTTGATGGTCGCCCTACGGAGTGGCTTATTTTCAAACGTAGTTACGATGATACGTGTACCTTTTTCTCCTCATCTGAAAATCTAGCAAGATTAAATGCTGCTTTACGCGGACCTGCCCGCGAGGCGGTGGTGGTCTTGCTGGCTGCTGCGAGGGATCCACAAGAGGTCTTACGTGTTTTAGAATCTAGCTTCGCGCGTCCGGAGCATATTATATTAGCAGAGGTTGCTAAAGTTCGAGCGTTGCCACGATTATCTAGCGCAGAATCTACGAAGGAACTAAGTGCCTTCGCTCTAAAGGTTTTGAACTGCAAGGAAATTGTTAGATTATTAAATCGTCCTGAATATTTGGCATCACCGGAGCTTTGCAACGAAATTATATTTAAATTAACTCCTTTACTTAGGTCGCGATGGGCGGATTTTGCTGTTCAACATAGTAGCTTATATAGGTTAGAATCTTTAGCCGATTTCTTAATGCGCGAGGCGGATCTCCGTGTAAGGTTTGGTGCGTTCGTAGAGCCTTTCCATTCCAAGTCTTTTACAAAGGTAACGTGCAACGCGACAGATTGTTATACGGAAGATGTTTCTCCTAAGGATCGGTCAGCTATCGTTTGTCTCTTTTGCACAAAATGTCATTTGGTTCGTAATTGTGAAAAGTTTCGTGCTCTCTCGATTCAAAAGAGATTGCATTGGGTTGCCGAGGCAAAGGTTTGTAGGAAGTGTCTAGAGAGAGGTTCGCATCATTATAACAGCTGTAATAAGTTTTCTTGTAAAGAAAAGTCATGTAAGTTTAGAAACTCTCACCATACGCTTCTTCATAAACCTATCGTAACCGACGCCACTCTTGTCACCCAGCCGGTTGATCATCCATCATCTTCGTCTCAGCCGGTTGATCCATCAACATCTTCGTACCCCGATAGCTCTTCCATTGTAGTTACTCATAGTTATTGCCCATCCGCGAACCGACCACTTCTAAAAGTTATTCCTGTTACTTTGTCGGGCCCTAACGGTTCTTTTAACACGTTCGCCTTGCTCGACGACGGTTCTACCGCCTCACTTCTTGACGCTTCAGTTGCCGAAAGGCTAGGAATAGTAGGTAGAAAAAGCCGTATTCGTGTAGACGGTGTGAGCGGTATGTCCACCGAAACAGATGTTAGTTTTATAGACCTTCGCGTTAAAGGTCAGTTCTCTACAAAATATTTTCATTTAAAGAATGTTAGATCTATTCCAAATCTTAATCTACAGCGTCAAACTGTTCCAAAAGATGAGGTAGAGCGTATAAGTTTTCTCGCAGATTTAGCTGACGTTATCTGTTACGAAGACGCTGTCCCTACTTTACTCATAGGTATCGACAATTGGGAAATCACCATTCCTCAATGTATCCGTCGAGGATCCCGCCGTCAGCCCATAGCGGTTCAGACTTCCTTAGGCTGGGTTCTTTACGGATCTCTCAAGGGTAATGCTAATTCGTCAGATTTGATCAATCATTGCATTGTCGATGAATCATCCCAGTCCCTCGATGACCAACTTCGTGATTATTTTAAGATTGATTCAGTAGGGATATCCAATAAAACATATTTTTCTCGCGACGACCAAGTCGCTGTAAATATTTTAAAAGAGACAACTTGTCGGCTTCCCTCCGGTAGGTTTCAAACCGGACTTTTATTGAAGCCCGATATTGGTTTCGTACCCGATAGCTATAGTTTAGCTCATTCCCGTTTATTAAGTTTAGAGAGGAAAATAAAGAAAAAGGAAGAAAAAACATATACAGTTCTAAATTCAAAAATAACAATTAAGAATAAAAACAAGTAAAAAGTTCCGTATCTGTCGGCAACATGCCCGCCCCCTGGTGACAAAACAAAACAAACTAAAGTATACCATGTAGACATAAAATAAAGGGTGGCCGACAAATTGAACAAACAAAAATATGAAAAAAAGACAAGAGACAAGGAACATACAATTAGATTATAAAAGACTGCTTCAGGTGCACTATGATATATATGTACAAATACATAACATATACAAAAAGAACAGTATCGAAAATAAAGAAAAGACAAGATAAATTTAAATGAACAGATACAATTAAATTAGAACCAAGTTACGCACAGGGCGCTTGAGGACTCCAGTACTGGTGGTAACCTCGACATTCTCTTTATTTGTGGCCAGCTACTCCGTCCCTAATTAAAAAAAAAACTTAATTTGTAGCCTTTGTGTCCAATGTTTTACATCTATGCCAAATTTCATCGACTTCATTGAGTCGTTCTGCACATACGAGTACCTTCTAGCAAACATACAATCTTCTAAACTTTCGCATTTATAATATTAGTTAATTAACTACAGAGAGTTGACGAAAATTATAAATAACATTAAACGGGTTAAGAAAGATGTTAAGAAACATCAGATCAATTGGTACTCAACGATTACACTATCATTGCGTTTATAGATGAATACTTTTAATATACGTGTAACATTGTCAACTAAACGTAACAACCAGACGTTATGCTCTGATACACAGAAAATATACAAAGAATTACGTAGACTAAAAAAAACATCTAATTATGTCGTAAGTACGTATCCAAGAAAATGTTTGTAACATTGGATGTTTACTGGCGATACACTTCTTCAACAATATATAGCTGTCTCAACATAATCAAAGATAATGATAGTGATGGCAATATGCTTTTGTAAAAGTATTATAGCAGTGGAGTTGTAGTCAATAATCATTGAACCGTTAAAAGGTTACATTTTCATTAACAAAATACGTTGTACGTACTGTAATGAGATTAGTCTGTGGTCTATTTACTACAGTTTTCGTCAGAAACGCCTGGATAAAGTTTCTATTGGATAAAGAAATTTGTTTTTTTAATTAATTAATCAATAATTTTTTGATTTTATTCGTAAAGAGATGACTTGATTTAATTTGATTAATTCTGTTTATAATTTCTATAGTTATTATGTTTTTAAAACAATTTTATTTTCGAAACTATAAGCATTAAAAAAAATTATTTCTCATATTAATAACACGAGAACGGTTGAACTGATTTATCTTATTTTGGTCTTGAAATGTTCGTGGAGGTCTAGGGAAGGTTTAAAAGGTGAGAAAAATTCGAATAATTGCCGAGAACTAATTAAGTTTTTTTTTCATTCCACGCGGACGGAGTCGCGGGTGACAGCTTGTTTGGAATAAAATAATTCTAGTAAAATCTATCGAAATAAAAGTAATGAATAATAAAATAATAAGAAACAAGAACAATACATTAATTTTAAATGTTTATTTATAAATTTAATTTGAGAAACAAAGAAATTGTTTTGACAAGGTAATGAAACAATCAATTAGCGATTTGCCTCGCGAGCGTCGGACGAGTTTCCTTCAAATACATTTTAACGCAATCTCTCTTTTCACCTCCTCCTCTGGCAATTACATTTTATCTGACACTAGCTGTCGCCCGCGACTTGTCCGCACAGGATAAAAAAAAAACATAATTAGTAGCTTATGTATTCTTCAGACTATCTTCTATATATGCCAAATTTCATTGAGATCCGTTCAGCCGTTCTGGAGATATCTTCAAACAAACATCCATCCATCCATCTAAACATTCGCATTTATAATATTAGTAAGATAAGATTCCTTATTTTAAACAAGTATTAAAAGTACCCTGAGTTTTCACTATTATTAGGCTAAAGTTAATACTTTTGAAATGAAAACCAACACCGTGTTTTGTTTTTTACATCGCTTCATTTGTTTGTCAAATGAGGCGTAAAGTACCGATAGCTAATAGATTTTACATTCAAAATTGTTTTTCAAATTGCAATCTTGTTCACTAATTTCTACACTTCACTTTATTAAAGATTAAACTCTACCCAACACTTCGAGACATTCCAACTTTGTATATCATCAGCTCACTATACGTCCCCACCGAGGAGCTCAGAGTCTACCCTAAGTTAGAACTAGGCCATAGTTAGCGCTGGCTCAGTGCAGGTTGGTTGACTTCAAACATATTTTTTAATTTCTTCGCAGATATGTACAGGTTGCATCACGATTCCTTAGCCGTAAGGACGTCGGATAAATGTACGTATATAAATTGAAAAACGAAAAACATTGTAATGCAGCGGGATTCGAATCCAGGACCTGGAGATTACAAGACAGGTGCTTTAACCGACTGAGCCAAGGTTGAAATATAATTTATTCATCGAATAGTATTGGTAGTAATATAAACTTGTTCTTTTTCTCTCTCAAGATGCCTCTCCTTTTAATGGAGGTTGGCCGTCAGCTCAGTGAACTTTCGCCGATATTGTGCCAAGCGAAATAAATGTTCCACGCTGGTAACATTCGTCCATTCCTTGATATTTCGCAACCACGATTTCTTTCTTCGTCCAGCGCGTCTTTTGCCTGCGATCAAATAAACTTGTTATCTAATTTAAAATCATAAACCATGAAGATGAATTTAGTAAAAATCTATTATTAAACAAATTGTCAGTTTATTTGTTTATTTCGTTATAATTTCCACTTATTCCGGTTCAGATGTTCACAATCGAAGGCCGTGGCTAAACGACGACCCAGTCGACGACACTCTTGTTGGGAAACTTGATTTTTTGTTTTTTATGTCACCGTAAAATTGTTTACATCGCCAATTTATAATGTCGCAAGTGACAAGATTTATGTTTTTGATAAAATCGTCAAATTTTTACAAACTAAGTAACGTTTCATAGTCTATACCGTAATAGTGCAAAGCATCAGTTTACAGTTTTACGATTTTACATCGATATATTTTAAACTATAAAGAAAAAATACTTTATTTAAATTTACTACCTAGTTTATAGTTCGTGTATCAAAAGTCAAAGTTCGAGAAAGACTAACTTATAATTGGACAGATCTTAATGTAACGATATTCACGATTTTACGGTGACACAATAAAAACGATGTTGTTATGAGAGTAGGTACTTGTGAGCAATAGATGGAACTAATGTTATTGACAATGTAACCTGATTTTGGAAACTATTGCGATATTTAAACAAGGGACATGAGAAGTTACTTTCCTTTCTAAACTGTGGCTAAGAAGCAATTTCAGAACACTTTTACAGAGTAATGTTTTTATTGCAAAAGATACATTGCAAATATATAGCATTTAAGCCGACTTCAAAAAGAAGGATGTTATTAATTCGTCTGTATTTTTTTCTGTGTTATTCTTTTTATTTTGTTTGTTTAGGGTCGCCTTCTTTCACGTAAATATTAAAAAAGTTATGTACTGAATTATTCCTATTAAATAACTTCATCTATTGATGAAAATTGTAAACTAATCTGGTTAATAACTTTTATATTCCAGTTTATTTCCGATATACAATTTTTTAATATGTGATTGTATTAAATGCTTCGGGAATTTTGGATAAGAATTCATGAAATAGCTGTCGCCCGAGACTCCGTAAACACGGAATTAAAAAAAACTTATTCAGCAGCCTATGTGTTCTTACAGACTATATTTTACACCTATTCCAAATTTCAACGAGATCCATACAGCCGTTGTGAATATATTTTCTAACAGACAACATCCATCCAAACATTCGCATCATAATATTAGTAAGAGTAAGAAAATATCGTTCATAAATAAGTCTTAAATTGTAAACTCGACAATACTCTCGACTCGAGCTCCTGCTTCAACACACTGTGCAAGAAGTTTGATATCGACCCGTTTGCAACTAGTGTGTCCTCAGCGAGGAGTTGTCTAAGCCGGGATTTTTTTCAGATAAATTGAGCGGTGGTTGAATATATATTTATATTTAAAAAAAAGTCAAGTATTTATATCTCATGTGCTGACTGACAAATTATTTAAGCCATTGCTATAAGTGTAGACTTGTACATAGCTATATGT